CAACAACATCAACCACAACCACAACCACAACCACAACCACAACCACAACCACAACCACAACCACAACCACAACCACAACAACAACAACAACCACCACCAACCACCAACCACCAACCACCAACCACCAACCACCAACCACCAACCACCAACCACCAACCACCACCACCACCACCGCCGCCGCCGCCGCCGCCGCCGCCGCCCCCGCCACCACCGCCACCGCCACCACCACCACCACCACCACCACCACCAACAACAACAACAACAACAACCCCAACCCCAACCCCATCCCCAACATCAACATCAATAACAGCGGCAACAGCGACAGCCATACCGGGGAGCACCTATGCCAGGAACATGTCTTGACAAGACAACGCAATTATCTCGGTAACTTTGGTATACGATGCAATGCCTCTATAAACAACAAGACCAAGACCAGCAAGACACATGTGCATCAATCCCTGGCGGGACCTGGGCGGCTCTGGAACGGCCTCAGGCCCGTTCACCAAATTGCTGGGCTTTGGGGTTTGGGGCTTGGCATTGAGGGAAGAAGCTTCGTTAAGGATTCCTCCTAAAGACCCGAACAAACAAAGGAGTCTGACGCTTCGCGGGCCATGAAACCCAGGCCACAAGTCTCAGTGTCCACCTGGAGGAGCTCAACTCACTGCGCCATGCTGCTTCAAAGCACTCGCAAAGGATGTTGGAGCGTGGTGATAGGTTCGGAATATTGATTGATGCAGTGTCAAACTCATGTATAACCATGCTTCAAGTACGAAACAATCTCGGGCTGGGCGTGGTTTATTCACAGGTTCAGGCTTGGGTCTGGAGGGATCGAATCCCGGATCCCCCCCACCCCCGAAAAAAGAGGGTGGTCCGGATGGTACCCTGAGTCCTCGAAGCCTGGGAGGGACTCTAGAGACTCGAAGGCCTCTCCAGTCTCCAGCACCCCAACACTGGGCCTTGCTTTCAAGGAGGGCGCTATGTCAGAAAGCCTGGGACACAGAACACCTAAACACAATCTTATCTAGTTCTGGGCAACCTGAAGGCCGGGAGTCACAAGGAGCCCTCCCCAGTTGAGGAGCTTCTTTTGCTGCACGAACCGCCTGGGCACTGCCTCCATCTTCGAGATGTACTAAGATGACGGCGGGCAGTGATCTTTGCCATCCTTTTTGCGACTATGCAGTGGCCAGCGACCAACCATTCCTGGGAGTTCAGAATGTTTCAAAGTCCTCCAAGCTAGTGGCCGTTTCCGTGGGCTCGATGGGTTCGGCAGGTTGTGGAGGTTTCGGCTTCGCCGGGGCTTTGGCCACAGCCTTGGCATCCATTTTTGGCGCGCTCTTCTTCGGAAGCTCTGCTTTGCTAGGCGCCTTTGGGGGGCTCGAGGGGCCTGGCGGAGCCTGGGCCGGCGGGCCGGCGAAGCTCTTTCGAATGTAGCTAAGCATGCCGGTGGAAGGGACTGGCAGCGAGGACTCTGGTGGTGCCTTGGCTTTCCCTGGTGCTTTGATCACGGCCTTGGGCTCTGCTTTAGGTGCAGCGGCCTTGCTTCCGAGCAAGCCGGTCATGCCCATGACCTGCTCAGTGATGCTCTTCCGAGCATCTTGTGGCTTCGGCTTCGGCATCGCTTGCTTCGACATCGGCTTGGGAACTGCATTTTTCGGCCCCGGATGCACAGCTTTGGACGGAGCTACCACACTCACTGGGGGTGCCTTCACAGGTTCAGTGGCCGCGGCAGAGCCTCCCGTCGCTGATACCAAGATTGCAGAAGAGACCAGCAGCCTAGCTGCTTGTCTCGTTGCCTCGTCGCGCGTAGGCCCCCTTCCCTGCGTGACGGCAACTACCACGGGATCCGTTGCGTCATGCACCCGTGCTTGCCGGTGCTGGAAATCCGCAAAGTGTTGCTTGCACACCTGCCGGCAAAGTTCCACGGAGTCGACCATGAATTGCTGCACCAGCGACTCCATTCGAGCCTGGAGCTCCTTTTCAACAGACTGGGACAGGCGAGCCAGCGCTTCATCCATCGCGATCATTGCTTGTAGATTCTAGACCTTCAGCACAATTCAACATGATCAAACCTGCTGCAAGGACGCTGAAGTGTGACGAATAAGTGTGGAATTGCTGGGCCGAGATGGACGGTCAGCGAGCCTTGCTGCCCTCAAGCCTCGCACAAGCCGACGGCCCCCGCACTTCACAGTTCACCTTCCCGGGTGCCCCGTCAAGAGAACAGCAATGACCCTCCCCTGCAGAAGCACAGAAGGAGCTGGGGCACCAGCTGCGCCCGGCCCGAATCCCGATTCCTGCATTTTCGGGCTCCCCCCCCGGTAGTTTGGGCGTTCTTAGACGGTGAAGCTCCAAGAACACAGACTCTGAAGGACCGTGCCAGGGAAACTAAGAATCAAGACGCCTTCCTCCGATCCGCAACGAAACCCGACATGTCTCCCGCAAGCCCGTGAACTCGAAAACCACGCGCTTCCAAAGTGCATCCGTCCGAAAGTCCCAGATTTTGAGAGCTGGGGCAAGAGCCAGCCGTCGAGCAGCTGCTTCCGGGTCAGTCGAGCCCCTGACATAAACACAGCTTTGCTAGGATAGAGCAGTTTTTTCGATGCATGTCACAAGGTGGCATCGGATCTTCCGTGGGGGTTTGGAGCCGCGATATTCTGCACGTTAGCTCTTGGAGGATATATATATATATATATCTCATATCATATCATATATATATATATAGACTCACTGCCCCAATGGAGCACCAGGCCTTTGGATGACCAGAGGCGACTGCTCCGGCGTGGGTGCCTTGCTGAGTTGGGATGTCGGGACTGGGGCCCTGGACTAGAGGCTTCGGGGTTGTTAGAGGATTGATGCTACATACTTGGGGACCGGTAGTTTTGAGGGGGGCCTTAGGGGACTTTGGGCTGGTATAGTGTGCACTACACTACACACATCGGTGCGGAATTTGCGGCTTGTGACTTGTGGCATCTGGAGTGAGGTTTTTGCGTGGTTCGAGGATGTAGCAGCTTGAGGACTTTCGGACACGGAGCCTCTGATAAACCCAAAGTACGCATGCTAGGAGAAAACTAGCAATGATTTTTGAATTTTGGACTGCTTAATTAAAGGCTGCATTGCCATGTCTGTCTACCTACAATCCCGGAGCCTGAGCTCGAAGCTGATTCAGAACCCTCCGTAGGTCGTACACACAAGCACAGCATGCGCAATGAAACTCACAGCGGGTCCGATACACCCGAGCATATGTTTCAGAATGTTTCAAACACACAAACATCTTATGGCCATGAAACGCATGACAGGGACAACAGGAGGCTTCACTGAAACCAGCCCTAAACAATAAGGTCCTGGCAAGTTGATTTGCATCCTCAGGGCTGGCCTCAGAAAAAGGTCAGGTTTGGGTTCACGGATCTGGGCTAGCCAAAGACATGTTCAAGGGCATTCAAGGGGATGGAAAGCTTGAGACTTTGAAACTGCCAATGATTCAGGGCCGTGTCCAATCGTAGCTAAATCGAGCTTGATTTCAATCCTTTCGCACTGGGTGTCAACAAAGAGCTTGTGCTGTTTGTCACGTACAGGATCGGCTCAACGCTCACTCCGTTCACAGGGGCTTGTTCGCTTTTCCAACTATCTTTGGCTGAAGCGGCCCAGTGGCTTGAAAGCTACGGCACAGCTCCCTGCAGATTCGGAGATGATAGCTGAACGGGAGCATTCTGCGGAACTGCGCAAGCTTTGGACCGGCTGTCCCGGAATCTTCAAAGCAACCGCAAATCTTCGACCAGAAAATGCGGTGATATGCTGAAGGCAAAGCACCACGAAGCTTGTTTCAGGCACATGCCGCCGAGCCCATGACATCTGCCAAGGGAGTTATCGCCACCGTGGAGTGGACATTGGGATCCTGCAGCCGACTGTGCAGAAGATACAGAGGTGCACTTTTCATCATCCGCCTGTCAGGCCCTCCTTTGTCAGCACAGCATATTGAAAAATTGAGCACCCACTTATTCCAGGGCAGGGTGGTCCATGTCAGATACAGAACCTGTGTCGGTTTCAGGACAGAGCTAGGACAGCAATGGGTCAGCGGAGCAGGAATACAAAGGCCTTTCATGGAGATTCATCGAGCTGGGATATCGGACTCATCGGGGGCTCGAAGCCATAATTCAGCCATGGACGAGCAACTCACCTTCAACTTCTAATCTCCACTCCGAGCTATCAAAAGTCATAGGCACTTCCTGCAGCAATCGCAAGACCAAAGCCACCCGCCCTACACCAAGGCAACTCCAGTCGCGGTCCAGCAAGTAAGAGTACAGGAAGGAAGCTAAGGCTTGGGTTGGTGGCCGCCGCCACCTCGAGCGGATTGCTTCGAGTCAACACGGATGGTTCAATGGGTCAGGAATGATAGAGCAGCAGTACGGATGATGGCTTAAACCAGGGGCTGTTTAGTTTCAGTCTGGTGATGCTGCCTTTGGAGGTTGAGTTGACAGCTGCAACAGGCGAAGAGCTTCGGACTGGAGCAGAACGTGTCAAACCTGCCAGCATCTTGAAGCCTCTGTGTGGCTTCACAGCATGCGGTGGGTACTACCGAGACCATGTGATACACTACAGCGCCGGGATTTCTCGCAACATCCGAGTAGCTTGTTGGCGCTCTGTAGTTTGCGGCTCATGCTACATGGCTACGCTGCACTGAGCCTCAAAAATGGAATCATCGGGTTTGAGATCTGGTGAGGGCTCCCCATGGATCGGAGCTCCTGGGGTCCCGGCTGCATTAGCTTCAGTTCCTGCCGACAGCTGCATGTGACCCAGCTTCCAAAACTGCAGTACAATGGCCCATCTACCCATGAGAGTCTGTGGAGGTTTGCTTGAGGTTTGAAGCCCGTTGCCCTTTGGTCATCTGTCTTTGTCTTTCTTTTGGAGACTCGGGGCTCGCACGGACGAGAACGGCACGCTCGTTCAGCGACTTGCGCTGCAAGTTTTGACTCGCAATGGCTGGAAGCGGCAACTGGAGGTCTCGTTGCGAGAACTCTTCGTGATCCTATGCCGTGGCTTTGAAGTTGCACTGTAGCTCTGTATGTGCCCGAGTTGCCAAGGGGTCTTGGAGCGAAGTGCACACGTCGGCTGAGCACGTGCTCTAGCAATCTCTGTGTCTCTGGTTTCCGGCAACAAGCCCTAAGTCCTCTACAGCGAGTTTGCCAATTTGCTGACGGACCGTCCTTGAAATCGAACTGCCTGTAGCACTTTCAAACACCTCGATAGCGGGGGTCCTGAATCATGGCCGCCTGCCGAAGCTCATCAACAAGAGCCGGCACCTGGGTGCGTTGTAGGGCGATGAATGGAGTCTTGCAATCTCGGAATCACCCTCTCCCAGGGCACCACATGCAGGCTCGACGCCTATAGGACCGCAAGGCCTGAATGTAGCTTTCTTGTCCCGTTGAGGTGTCGGCACCGTGCAGCTCGCAGTATTGCGGGTAGAAGTCCTGCGGAGGCCAAGGTGTCGCAGTTCGCAGTTACATGTTACTACAGTGATTTCAATGGCCTGCAAGGGGAGTTCTGATGTACTATTCTAACACAGGACTGAATCTTGTTCAACTGAGCAAGATACTGCATACATTGGACATCACTCTTGGGTAGGACCACCTCCAGTCGCAACTTATTCCTCCATGCGACACGTCCACTGTCCACGTTACCCAAGTGGAGACTCGGGTGAAGAATGAGAGTCTTAGTGGACTGTCGAAGCAGGAGGATGAAAACCGATATTTTGCTGAAGCCATCTGTTGCATCCACAGGTCAACTCGACGCCTCCGCGGCCGATTCGAGGCTAACGTTTGTGTGCTCTTCCAGGAACTTCACATAGGACCTGCTGTGGGGTGGGTCAACATGCATCGGATCAGAATCTAGTCCCCATGTCTCGAGTCGGGCAGTGGAGCAATCCCTGATCCAGGGATCCTGATGCAACCCGCTAAGAAGACGGCGGATGCTGTGGCTACATAGGGGCATATCTCTCTGAGCAGACCCGCCTAGTTGTGGTCACCACAATACTTGCACGAATTGGAGGTATTCGAGCCCTGCGCAGGGGCCATGGCTCGAATGTTCGCTCCCGAGAGTTGCAGGCCAACGGCTTGCCCTTCTTGCCCGCGAGGAACAGCCTCGACTGCAGGCACTGTGACTTCGATATAGCGACCATGAAGCAGCAGTAATTTCGACCACGGGCGATGATCACGATGATAATGCGGGAGAAGAGGAGGACGACGACGGCGATGAGGGTCATGCCGCTACTTATCATGAGCAACTAATGGGAATGATGATGATTCTCATGATTGTGATGATCATGCTTCCTGCCCGGTCGAAAACGATTCGGCCTCAAAGAGCAAAAAGGCTGAGCCGAGCATGGCCTTCTTTTCCATGCCGCTGTCACCACCGCATGTGGTTCATTAACCTGCTGGTCTGTCAAGACGAAGAGGCAGAACTCCAGGCATCCGTAGGCACGGGAAGAGCTTCGGCCATCCCAGTTTCAGTCTGGCTCCCATCGAGAAAAAGCGGCAGCATTGCTACATCCAGCCCAGTGTGCTTTTGCAAGCCTGAAGCGAAATCTTTGCCCAGTATGCATACCTTGTCTTGCAGCAGTTTAGGCAAGAAGGGCCTGATCAGTCCGTAGAAGGTGGCAAGGAAGGCAGGCGCACGCACCACCGTGACAGAGGCAGTCACCTCGGGGAAGTAGGATTTGCCCAGGCTGATGATCCTCCGCAGGATCGGAATATACCGTGCATTGTCGAAGCCAAAGCCATCGCAGTCTATGATGAGACGTGCACGAACCAGCTCGCCTTTTCTTAAGGATGCTGCCCGTGAAGCTTGCAGCGCATCCTGTTGTCACATGTTTTCACGGATCAGGATGCAATCAATGTTCTGGTTGCCAGTTCCTGAACTTAACGGCTGCTACCAATACTGCGACGACGACGACGACGACGACGGCGACTACGACGAAGACAAAGGCTGCCTCCTCCTACTAGACCCTAGACTCTTTACTCCTGCTCGCACTCCTTGTCCTCCCACTCCTGCCACTACCATAACAAGAAACTACTACTACTACTACTACTACTACCACTACTACTACCACTACCACGACTACTACCACGACTACAACAACAACAACGACAACAACAACAACAACAACAACAACAACAACCACAACCAACAACCAACAACAACAACAACCA